GAATAAATCTTCTCGAGCCCTTCTGGAGTAGTGTGAATTCATGTCGGTGAACTCAGCTTACTCCGATCTCCGACCACTTATACCGGCAAAAAAAAAAAGCAAGACCATACTAATTATCTAGCGCATTGTGGTTTGAAAGCTTTCTTTAGCTCGTGCCGTACAATGTGTCGTCCTCCTCGGTTGGTGTCATGTTCAGATCAGGGACGAAGAAGAAACCTTTTTCTTTTTCTTTATCACAGCTCTTGGTTTCGCTTCTTGCTCTGTAAGATTCTGACGCGTCTTTGAGTTGAGATATGCTGTGTTTTTGTGAGATGGAAGAAGGTAAGCACCTCCTTTTGCGGGACTCGTCGACGAGATTAGATTGACTACTAACTGGAATGGTCTTGACTCGATCTGAGTACTCAAGCTGAAAAAATAGGACAGTCAATTCTAAGTCAGGTTTCTAGATCAAGGGACACAAAAGGGAATGGTTCAGAGAGAAGAGAATGTAAAAAAAAAAAATTCACCTTAATTCTCTTTAAGCCTTTGTTCTTGGCATTTCGTTCTTGATATGTTGCTTGCACATTTGCAATCTTCTGTTCAAGACAAGATCTCTGGAATGAAGCAAGAAACGAGAAAAAAACAAAGCTAAAAGAAAGCAGCAAGAACAGAGAATAATAGTAATACCTTTTGAAGGTCAAATCTTTCTTTCAACTGCAAGTTCTCTGCATCTTTAAGTTCCAAAAATGTCTGTAAAATATGCCAAACGAGCATTAGAGATGGTGCAAGAAGAGGTGGTGTCAGATTAAATTTGGGGTTTGATCTGTGTACCTTCTTTTTCTTAGATCTCTTTGAGCAAGAACTGGTGATTTCATTTGCTGCGTGTAACGCCTACACCAAATCACACGCATTGATTAGTAATAACAATAAAGAAGAATAAGAAAGTAAAAGGGCAGTATTAGATGCTAAAGAGAAGTCTTTAATTCAAAAGTTATAAAACCAAAACCAAAACCAAAAAAGGAGAAAAGTAAAAGCTTAACCAATTTCAAAATCCCGTTTCTAATTTCGATAGATTAATTCTTTTTTTTTTAGTTTATCATGATCATGATCATGATCATGCAGGCGACATCATGATAATCCCGTGGCGTGGCAACATCACATGACACCATCACTACTTAAAGATCACGTGACAACAATCTATCCGACAAGATTTTACTCGCTT